CACACCTGTAACTTCGGTGCTTGGGTGTAGTGCACACCTGTAACTTCAGTGCTTGGGTGTAGTGCACACCTGTAACTTCAGTGCCTGAGGCTGAGGTGGGAGCACCAAGTGTCCGTGGTCAGCTTAGGCTACAGAGTGAATTCAGGGCTAAGCCTGAGCTTTATATGTGAAGCTATCTTCTTTTAAAAGCAATTCTCTGTAAGGCATAGAGTTTAGTAATTTACCAATTACATATCTTAATGTGGCCGAGTAGCTATCTGCATTTTTAGATTTTTGTAAACATTATAGATAACTCATCGATCCCCAGCACTCTCCAGTGCTGAGCAGCTGAGTGCTGGTATCCCCAACTGTAGAAGTATCTTTCTGCCAACAAGGAGATTCATCCACGTCTTTAGGACTAAGTGTGTTTACAGAAAGGAGCTGCTAACACTGGAGTGGTAATGCAAGCCCAGGTCTCCATATTCTGAATGCCCACCAGTCCACATCCAGCATCCTCTGACAGGTGACCCACTGCAGAGCCTTTGGCTGCAGTAGATAGGTGATGCCTTGACATGGGTCAGGCTTGCGCTGAAGGGGTACAGGCAAGGGAATTCCTGTCACCAGGGTGGCACTGCAGGCTTTATGATGGAGGTCTGTTTCTGCCACTTTATAACAGGATGCCTGCCTGTCCAAACATCTTCATCCACATCCCTGATTTAGAGATCAGGCATGTAATAGAGTTTTGTTAGGACAGAATCTCTCACTGTGACGTGGCTGGCATCTGACACATACCTGATGACAGACGGGTGGGCGAGTGCTATGGATGGGAGGCAACTGAGTAGGAGGCTAGTTAGGTGCATGCATGGAGAGGCACCTCCATGAGTACATGGGTTCATGGATGGATTATATATATATATGGGATGCTAAATAGTACTTGATGTCCAGACTGGATTATCGATAATGATCACTGAAGATTCTAGGGCAGAGACAAGAAAGAAACTAAGGTGTCAAAAAGCAGGTTGTGTTTCCTTCATGATTAAATGATGTTCAGAGTCAGTAAGTAATAATCGACATTCAAGCATGAAAGATGAATTTGTGTCTGTACACAACTTGTAAGCCCAGCTCTTGAGAGATCTGGGTAGGAAGAGCTCAAGTTCAGTGTCCTCGGTTACCTAGAGAGTGCCCATCTCAGAAATCAGAAAGAAATGAAGCCCACTGTAGACACAGTATAACTTTGTTGCTGCTGAACTTACTTTTCTTTAAGTTTTTCCTCACAAAAAGTCTTGTTCCTGGCCAAAGGATTGACTATAGCTAGGATGGTCTCTTAAGAGGTCACTGGGGTCTAATTGGTATCACAGAAACAATTTTTGCATTCTGGTTCATCCTGGTAAAAATTTGTGAGTTTGCACATATAGCCTTCTAGGATCAAGATGTTTGTATAACAGGAGGAAGAGTAAGCAAAAGCCGACAGAGCCATTTTTGGTATAAACCCAGTACATGGCCATGATATAGAATTCTACCACCTGGTGTTCTTACTACCCTGTGTGTATTTTCTATGTGCCAGGCCATGGGGTTTCTCTCCTTGAGCAGCCCTGTGCCAGGCCACAGGGTTTCTCTCCTGGGCAGCCCTGTGCCAGGCCATGGGGTTTCTCTCCTGGGCAGCCCTGTGCCAGGCTGCAGGGTTTCTCTTCTAGGCTGGCTCTGTTCAATACCTGCTGCTTTCCCTTGGAGATGTTTCATGTTCTTATCACCCCAGCATGCTGGGATCTCGACTGCTGCTTTGGTTTTACTCTTGCAGTTCATACCACTCTCACAGGGACACTGCCCTCGGGGACACTGCCCTCCCAGGGCTGCGCGCAGGGATCCTGGCCCTGCCGTGCACTGTCTAGCCTCCACGTCTTTCCTTTCAAGTCTGGGTGGAAGCCTCCATGGTCCTGCAGCTCTTGTTTTCTACATCCCTGTAAAATTAGCACCATGTGGATGATGCCAAGGTCTGCTGCCAGCTTGATGGCAGCCAGGTCTTCTTGGACTGGTAGCAGCGTTTGAATGCCTGGGTGGGCAGCCTCTGTAAGAAGGGCACCCTGGGGTGCTTTGTCTCAAGGAAAAGTCTTTCAGTGGCTTATTCTTTCATCCCTGTGGACTGGTGGGATCTGGCCAGTTCCAGAGATGCCCTCAAGGTGTCTTCTTTTATCCCATTGCTTTTCGAGTAGCTTGAGTCTCTTTAGTGGCTGTGTCAGCCTGTCCACAATTTCTAGTGTGCTTGTTTTCTAGCCAAAGTACATGTTTTTCAGGCCTTTTTGCTGTGGTTCAGCTTCTGATTCTCACTGTAAACCTGGTTACAAGCAGCAAGCAGTGGCCATACACAGCCTTGAGAGTTCCCCCTACAGATTAGTTTGCTCTCTTTAAGCCCAGGTTCCTGCATGAATTCTATTGCTCATAGCTCCATTGCCTTTGCTCTGACCTCATTCCCAGAGTCATGCTGAGCTCTTGAGATGATCCATGTATTGTGTATGGAGTCATGACAAAATTCAAGAAAATTCAGATGATGTTGCAAGATGGCAGGCTGCATTCACTGCAAGTGCAAGATGTGGCTTGAGAGAAAAGGGAGTTGGTCAGTCTGATACAAGGGTGATGCAAGGGTAAAGAAAATGGAGCAGTTTTCCAGCAGCATGGAGGTCCTCTGTTCCGTAGCCATCTGCTCTGCCGTGTCTACGTATTACATATTTGTCATGATGCTGACAAGGCAGCTGCAGCAGTTCCAGCCATCACATCCAGATTCCTACAGTACCAACACAGAGAAAGCCGATTTCTCTGTCCAGGTGTCAGACACAATCCTGTGTCAAACCTAAACTAGTCACTGACTTCAAGCTGTCTCCAGCCCAAGGCTGGGAAGGGGCTCAGGTACAGTGGCCAGAGCTGTCACGTAAGCTGCTCCTGTTGGCATGGTTCACTTTGTGCCACCTAACAGTGTAAGCACCACAGCCCTGCCTCCTCCTCTTCCTTCTTCTTCTCCCTCCCCCTTCTTTCTCTTCCTCCTCCTCCTTTTCCTCCTCCTCCTAGATGGGGTAGGGGTGCTAGGTTCTTTCTACAGGGCTGCTTGCTCCTGATTTCCTTCTGGCTCAGTGGCCATGGTGATAAAAGTGTAGCTCTTTGTCTTTGCAACTCTGTCACCAAGGCTTTTCTGAAATGTTCCCATGTGAGGCTCAAGGAGGACACAGGTCACCACACTGTGTTCACTGAATGTGTTTCCTTTTGTTTGTGTCAGTGACATTTCACTCAAAACATTTGTTAGATGCCTTTAATCATCTTTTTCAAACCAGGAAACCCTAAGTATTTCTTTTTAACACTGAAAAACATGACTGTGCTTGTCATCCCCTGTGGAGTTCTTGTAGAGCTGTCTGTCTCCATGTCTCAGGAAAACAGGTGGTGGCCGTCCTTGCAGCATATCCACGCTGTTGCCCTGAGTGGGTCATTCCTAAGGTTTATCTTCTTGACTCCTTGCCTCTACTCTGATGGCCTCTACTGGTGAGAGGAAGGCCTGAGCCTCGGGTAAGGGTGACTTCTCAGTCTCTTCCAGAAGCCCTGATGACACTTCCATCCATGTCCTTGTGACTTTGCTTCCTAGTGCTGTGGTTCAGAACCAGAGTCAGACCCATGCTCCTCTCTTGATTGGAAGGCACATTAAGGCCGGGTCCTACCACAGGACACTGCGCCTCATTAGCAACTCCAGAAGTCCTTCTCTTCTGACTGTTCCCAGCTCCCTGGGTGAGTGGCCACACAGCTTCTCAGGGGACGCTGAGGGTGCAGTTTGAAGGTTTAAATGAATTCATCACAGTGCGCTTGAGCATGTTGGAGAAGTATGAGAGATGGTACCCAAGTCAACCAGATGAATGGAACTCCAATGGAAAATGGAAAGAGCTGTGGGCCTTTGCCAGAAGATCCCAGGCAGGGGAACGTGCAGTGGGCTTATCTTTCAGGCTTGGAGCCAAGGCCTGCCATCTCTCAGCACCCTAAGAGGCAGCTTTGTGGGCCTCACCAGCCTGTGGAGATTGAGTGAACCCCTATGAGGATCCTGTGATCCTCATGATAAAGGGGAAAGAGGCTGTGTATTGGGAATAGCATTTGATTAAAGAACTTGTGTCATTGTGGAGCTGGCCACGGGGACTTCATTTTTCTGTCTCTGGAAAAGCCAGCTGTTTGAGTTATTCCATATTGTTCTCTTCAAGTTTGAGCTGATTATCTCTAATCACACTTGAAGCGAGCCTTCCATAATAGGGCTATTAATGTGCCTTCTATTTTTTGCTGTGCTGTTTTATTTTATTTTTCCATTAAGGTTCAAATGGTCTTGTCTTTTAAGGGAGGAAAACAAAGACTAAATCTCCTAATTGTTATAATTATTTCCATAAAATCCTGAGAATCTTATGAACAGTCAAATTTTTCTCCTCTCCTTTGAACAATATCCATCATGCCCAGCTGGCCAGCTCAGCAGCTCTGGAAGGAAGGGGGCAGCTAAGGTTCACTGCAGGGCGGTGGAGCCCACACCACAACTGTACCCAGGTGGCTACAGCAAGTGACACCACCCTGCGAGGATGGGACACACGGAGCATGAGGTCAGTGATGTGCCCACACTTTGGATCCCTGCTTCCTTCTCACTTCCCTTCTTCCTCTGAAGGAGTTGATTGAAAGCCAGAGGTGCTGGGGACATGTGACTTGCTGTCTCTGTCTTATTTCTGTGGGAATTATCTTCACCCCAAATTAAACTGGCAGGTCCATTGTAGGAAGCTGGCTCTGTGATGTCCTTTAGGTGTTTCCTGTGTCAGAGGCAGCACAGAAGGAATCCAAGGCCAGGGCTTTGTGGTGCCTCACAAGCCCCATGGCGACACAGATGCTCCATCTCTGTGATCAGCACTGCAGGCTGGCACTTTCAGTCCCCAGCCTAAGCCTCCCTTGTGGAGTTGTCTGGCCATTTCTGTGCTTTCAAGAGCCATACCTATTGGGCAATCATATTTTGTCATTTAAGTAATTATACGCAACAACCAGCAGTTCTAATGGAACAAACAAGAGCGATTTTTCTGTTCCAGTTGTGATTTTGATAGGCAGAGGAGTGATGGTGGGATGTCTGTTGCCATGGCAACAGGAGCCTGCACAGGCTTCTTTAAGATGCAGTTTATCCCCTTAGCACACCATCATTTATCACTGAGCTGAAGAGACGAATGTCATGTAATAACGTGGGCTTCTTCCATGGTGGGGGAACACCTTTAATTTTAGTTCCGAGGCCCCTGTGAAAATCCAGGGCTGATAAATAACTGGTAGGCACTCCTCCCCTGTGCATATCTGCACAAAGGAGTGATTTGGCTTTCTGATCAAGCTGGAGGCCGCAGACTCAAACTGTGATGGATATCCCACACAGGCCCCTTCTCTTTGTCCTCTGGGCTTCTCTCCTTGCTGCTCTTTGAAGGATGTGAAGACCAGAAGCTCAAAGACTGGCTCACACACCAAAATACAAGATGTATACGACACTGGCTGGCAGCTCCCCACAGTGACCTTGTTGTGTCCAGGTTGTCTCTGTGACAAGGCACCGGCTTCGAAAGGAAGTGTCCCCATAACAGCAACCCTTTCTCCTCTCATTGATGGGTGACTCCTTTGGCAACAGCCTTACTTTTGTCTAGCCATGCTGCCGGGACTGTTTGTTCTGCTGCGTGTTAAAGTTGTGCTGCTGGAAACTGAAGCGAGCCTCAGTCAGGCCCAGAGCACACGTGACTGCCTGCGACCTTCAGGATTTTGATTTTACAGCTCATATCTTCTGAGTTCTTAAGGTTTGGGGCATCTGATTTTCAGGGGTAGGCATGCCAGGATATTGAAAACATGTAGTATATACGAGCCAGCTAAAGATGTAAAATGCCAGGTTGGGGAGACACTTCTATGGGTAAAAGCACTTTTCCTGTGAGCCTGAAAACCTAAGTTCACATGCCCAGGACCCACATAAAAACCAGATGCAGCAAACACAAGCGTCTGTAATCCCAGCACATCCTGCTGACAGGGAGTGTCGGGAGCCAGAGGCTAGGGAGCTTCCAGAAACCCAAGGGCAGACGCCTGTTTACACAACAGCAAAAAGACCTTGTTTTAGTGGAAAGACAGGACAGATACCTGAAGTTTGTCCTGACCTCTACACATGTGCACCTGCACTCATGTACATGAATACACATGTACACACATCTCACACGTGCATAAGTTAATCAATTAAAATGCCATCAAAATGGGGAATCCAGCCTGAGGGAAGGGAAGGAGCTGAGCTGATATTTGTTGCAGGGCAAAAGACTATGATAGGGCTCTGCTATATGAAAGGTTATTATCTCTTCCAGGTTTTTCCCTAACCCCCACTGAAGCCATAGCAAATAAGGAAGCCAGTGATAGCACTGGAAGCTTGAGTTATCCCTGAGGGAGAGGGGTCAGTAAAGTGTGGATAGGAAGGACACCGCAGGGTTATCCTGGGTCTAGCACTAACTATCCACCCTCATTGGGTGACCTGACCTTGTTTTGGGTACATGGCATCAGATGACTAGAATATTTATATTTCTGACCCTGTGAGGGGCAGCCAGGGAAACAGGGGTCAGGGGATGGGGAAAGGAAAAAAGGAGAAGAGAAAGAGAATGAATATGCGTATACACAAGTGTATATACATGCATGTGCATGAAGAGTGCATATGTGTGTGAACAGTGGGCACATGTATTCAGGTGTGTGTGCATTGAGCATGTGCACTCTAAACCACCATATGGATGATTTCAAACACCCTTTCCACATCTCCTGCCTTCAGAATGAGTGGGGGTGCAGACAGACACAGAGTAAGCCCAGCATAGCAAACCCTATCTACATTTTTTTGGAGGCTTTTTAACTTTCTCTGTTTTTCTTTCTCGTTCTCTATATAGCTCCAAATAGTAGCCACACACCACTCACTGCTGTTCGGTCTTCCCTTTCTCATTTTGTGCTTTGAAGATGCCAGGGCCCTCACATGTCTGGTCCCACTTCTGCATGGCTGCCATTGTCCCTCTGGCCACTCCCACTCCCACTCCCAAGATTCCAAGTACATTTAAAAATTTTTTTTAAAGGAGATTGCATTCATTTGTTTAGAGTGTGCATGGGGGTGGGTGGGGTGGTTTTGCCATGGTGCACACATGGAAATCAGAGGACAACTTGAAGGAATTGGATCCCTGGGAGCAAACTCGGGTGACCAAGCTTGGAGGCAGGCATCTTTACCCACTATGCTATCTGACTGGCCCACCAAGCCACACTTTTGTTCCACTTGTCCATTTGGTTCAGGGAACTACACTTACACTCCTGGGATGGCAGCGCTGTCTCTGCTGTGAATCATTTCTGCAGGGGGAGGAAGTGGCCGAGCCTAGGCACCCAGGCTGGGTTGCCCTCTGCTTGGCTACCAGCAGGAGCATGAACCAGCTCTTCCTTCAGCTGGGGCTCAGCCAGAGTCCTGGAGAAGTGAGGTGGTTCCCCAGCCCACTCCCTCTTTCCGTGTGCGTTCTCCGTCCAGCCAGATATACTGCATAGAGAACGCTCACGGGCAGCTGGTGCGTGACCTTGACTTCAACCCCAACAAGCAGTATTACCTCGCCAGCTGCGGAGATGACTGCAAGGTGAAGTTCTGGGACACACGGAATGTCACCGAGCCCGTGAAGACCCTGGAGGAGCACTCCCACTGGTACAGAAACTCATTTGCATGCTGCTTTAGGGAAGAGGGGATTATGTAATTTATTTTGCTAATTACTTTACCATTTGGAAAAGCACAAACCAGCTTAGTTTGTGCTACTGTGAATCATTCAATCAGCTCAGCTTTATTCTTCCTAAAGAAACCCTAATTCCAAATGTGAATGTTTGTGATTTGTAAGTGTAGGAAGGGAAGAAAAACACCAGATTCGGTTCCCCTTTACACCACGCCGGTTCAAGTGTGGAAAAGTAAATGTGCGCAGATGTTCACACAGCATTGTTTGCCATGCACGGAACCTGGAAGCAACCCAAATGTCCATCAGTAGGGGATTGGTTAGGTAAATTTGGTGACATCCGTGCAGAGGAGATTATGCAGCTGCCAGAATGAATGAGGCATGTCTGTATGTGTGGATATGGAAGGGCGCCCAAGACCATTCATCCTCTCCAAATATTGTCTGGATGTGTACCATATGCTGGGAGAAAAAAAGAATGGAGTGCAGACTGGTATATATGCCATAAAATCGTGATTTTACTCCAAGAAAGCCTATATGTGCTGCACACACGTGTTTGTGTGTGTGTGTGTGTGTGTGTGTGTGTGTGTAGGAAATGTGTGAGTGTGTGCGTAATATGTGTGTAGGAAATGTGTGTGAACATGTGTATGTGAGTGTGTAGGAAGTGGGAATGTGTATGTATGTGTAATATGTGTATGTGTATATAGGAAATGTGTGAGTGTGAAATAGTATGTGTGTATAATGTGTGTCTGTGTGTGCATGTGTGGGAAATATGTGACTGTGGATGTTCACATATATAGGAAATATGTGATTATATGAGTGTCTGTACATGTGTAATATGTATGTGTATAGGAGATATGTGAATGTATGCAGGTATGTACAGGAAAAGTGTGTGTATGTGTGTATATGAAAGTCTGGCTGAGAGAAAGAGCTACTTTTCTGAGGACTCCTCCCTAGGTAAGGAGTTCCCTCCAGGGCTTTTCCTTCCTAGGCTTATGCCTCTGGACCTGTGAATTCCTTCCCAGAAGTGGTGCTGAGTCTGTGAGGCCCCAGGGTCCTCCTGTGCAGTTCTGATGAACTGGATGAATGGCTGTAATTTGCTGCAGCCTGAACAGAAAACTTCGCTGTACCCACTGTGCTGAGCACAGCTCCCTGTGTGAGGCCTGCTGCACTCTCCAAATGGGAGCACTAGCATCGTCTGTGACCTTAGCAGGATCAGGGGGCCAAACTCAGCAGGTACCCTAGCCACTGTGAGGAGGAAGTGGCCCTGTATCAGACCTGACACAGGCCCTTGTCTCGGGTCCTATGGCAACACACAGCTGCAGAGACATGCGGGACTTGGTTAGATGTTTCGTGGCATCAAGGGAGACAGAATTCTGAGTGACAAACCTTTTCCCTCTACAGATGATGTTTAGTCTTCTGGTCTTGTGTGCTGGGTCCTAAAAGAATATTCTGGAGCAGCACATGGTAGGCTTTAGCTCCTTCCCCAACGTTCCTGGCAACAGCATATGTGGTGTTGATTGCACTGCCACACTAGTGCTCCCCTGTGCAGTAAGGTCGGGGACACTCATGTGTGTTCACTCACAATCGTTCATCTGCCCATGACCGTTACAGGGTGTGGAGCGTCCGCTACAACCACTCTCATGACCAGCTGGTCCTCACTGGCAGCAGCGATAGCAGAGTCATCCTGTCCAATATGGTGTCTATCTCCTCAGAGCCCTTTGGCCACCTGGTGGACGATGATGACGTCAGTGACCCGGAGGAGCACCATGCTGAGAAGTAAGGGACACAGCTGCAGGAGACTCTGGGCAGGAGTGCTCTGTGGTCACCAATGACGTCTGGGGCCAGGCGAGTTCTGTGTGTGAGAAGGATGCTGTCCCTTCCTCTCTGCAGTCACAGACCACAGATCTGCAGGTTATTAGCTGTGGGATAAGGAGAGTTATAAGAGGTCCTCTGGCATGGTTGGAGTGCCTGGATCTCTGTCTTCTCCACAGTCTTTTTGAATGCCATATGTCATATCTGAAAGATTGCTGCTGTCCAGATTTGAACTCTGGTAACAGTGTGGCTGATTCTCCCTAGTTTTGTCACTCCCTGCATCACTAACTACATAGTGTCCTCGGAATGCTCAATGGATAGTTCATAGTGCTGACCATTTCCTCGTAGCTCTCAGCTGAGTAATGCAGGTCTCAGTCCAGGTCAGTAAGTTAGTCAGTCCTCCTCGGCCCTGAGCACTGCATAGAGTGTTCTGGTATACACTTCCCAGCCACACCATTGTGGTTCAGTGTTTTCTAAAAGCAATGTCATGTACCTGTTTCCCGTGCTAAGTGCATCTTTGACTGGGAGATGGCTGTGGTTGCACCCTCTTCTTATCAGGGCTCCTGTCTCTTGCACACAAAGGGGTCTGAGGTTGCAGAGTTCGCGCCTGGCTGGACTCCCAGTGTGAGTCAGCACGGGTGCTCTCATTATGTTGTGAGAGAAGGCAGCAGGGCCTGTAGCTCGCTTTGTGGAGCTCACACTGGAGGGAGACACTCTTGTTCCCTAAGTGGTTTTTACCATGCTCCTGTATGTTAGTAGCTTCCCCTAAGGTATGCCCCAGAAATCTGTGCCCAGATTGCAAAGGAAAGAAGGTTCTGGAGTGAGGCCCAACAATTTGGACTGCTAGAGAGCCCAGAGCACACGGCAGGCCCTGGCACTGGTCTGTGTCCACACACACTCCTTTGTTCACTTGTGTCTGGCTAGTCACATCCCGTGTGGCTCATCTGCAGGGTTTGTCTCTCCATTGTCGATTTCCTGTGGGTGCACTGCTGAGCTCAGGTGCACAGCCTCCAGCTGTTCTTCCTGGGTGCCATGTAGACTTGGCTTTTGCCAAGGAGGCTGTCTTTCAACCCCTCTGTGCCAGGCAAGAAACTGACTTGTTCCCTTAGTCTGCTGAGTGATTAATGTGTGTGCTGCCCCCTGTGTGGGAAGCATTAAGGAAGCAGGGGAGGGATTGTGGCTGGCAGACTGTCCTGATGACTTCCTGCCATGTTGATGCCACTGAATTCAGAAAGATGGGCTTCCCTGTGGAGACTCTGCCTGGTGTTTGTCACAAAGCAGTCTTCGACCACTGGCAAGTCCACTTGCTGGGATGTGGGGGCCTCTCAATGTCTTAAATTCCAGGTGAAATTTAAGGAGGACTTTAAGAGCTCCGTCTGTCTCCTGGGGAAAGGAAGCATTTTGTGCAGGCACTCAAGACCCCCAGACTGCATTCAGTGCCTGGAAGTCATTCTGTGAGATGGGGAGAAAGTGCTAGAGCAGCTGTGCCTTCTGAGAAGTGGCCTGTGCACGTGGGATTCCAGACCTGAGGCAGGCCAGGAGGCCTGCTCCTTGGGAATGTGTGCCACATGCTCACAGTCCTGAGCTTCTCTGTCAGGATCGCTTAGGCTCATGTCTAAGGACATGGGGAGAGGGTGTTACTTCACCCAATACCAGAGCCAGGAAGGCTATGCACTTGAACAGAGATCCTGAACAGAACCTTTTGTAGCCAGACTCTGGCTACTCTGTGCAGCAGAGAGCTAGCCTGGCTGCTTCTGGTGTCCATTTGGCTCGCACACTAGCAGCTTTGCTGTTATACTCTATTAGGCATAGTATTGTTGTCTCTAGACAGGGCCCTCATAATACACCAGATAGGTGGTCACCCCAGGAACTCATGGTGCCAAGGGTGGAGGTATAAGGCATTGCTAGTCACTAGGGTGTCTATAATCCATAGGTTGTGCCTTGTCCCCAGAGCTGTGATGCCGTCTCCTGGGCTTCAGCTGCATGTTGTTCCTGCCTCGTTTTCCTCCGTGAACTCTCACATCCTCTGTGCCTCACGTGATTTTCTGTCTCTTGGGCTCTAGGAGTAAGGAACCCCTGCAGGACAACGTCATTGCCACCTACGAGGAGCACGAGGACAGCGTGTATGCTGTGGATTGGGCCTCGGCTGACCCATGGCTGTTTGCTTCCCTGAGTTACGATGGGAGACTAGTTATCAACAGAGTCCCCAGGGCACTGAAGTACCACATCCTGCTCTAGTCCTGGGCACTGCTGGTTGGCACTTGGCAGGTTCTCAGGTTCTGCAGCCATGAGGCAGTTCCCTTTGCAGACTGCTGCCTCCTGGGTAAGCAACATTGCTTCTGTAGGAGCTCTGAGGGACGTGGGAGCTATTGCCAGAAGCTCGTCTGAAGCTGTCAGCACAGTGCCCAGCACGGAAGGGAGCCATGCTGGACGTTCCTATGTTGCTTTGTGAATTGACGGTAGCCCAGTCTCAGCTCGATTCTTGTTTTCTGTTCTAAGGGTGTTGGGAGTTTAACTCTTCATGAGTGCGTTTCCATCTTGCTATTCTCACTGAAATAAAGTGCACAGCGATGCGTATAGCCTCCTCCTTTCAGGCTCTGCCTCACTGAGGATATCACATGGCTCTTTGTTTTCTCTAAA